AGGAGCCTGCGATGATATCCCCTGTGAGGGCACTCCCTGAGATGGCAGGCCCTGTGATGTCATGCTCTGGCAACCATAGCTCTGGCTGTCATCCCGCAGAGCCTGTAGAATGGCAGTGAAGCGTTCAATTACCACAGCTGAGAACTGGTACTGCAGACCCAGGAAGGCAGACAGCATTGCCTGAGCAACCTGGAAGATTAAGGAGAATGTGACATACACTTATCTTTTTATTTTCTCATAAACCAAGACATAAAAAAAACATCTAGACAGTAACTCAAGTCATTTTGTATTAAAAAAGAAAAAAAAAAAAAAAAATCTGAAGACTATAGATATACCTTATACAGGTCCCATATGTTCATAAGCATTTCCTTTCACCTTATATTGCCTATTTTTCCTATTTTTCCTCTGATCTCACAACTGTTTCCACTCTCTCTTACTCCCTTTCTTTATCCTTTCCCCACAATTTTTTCAATTTCTCCTTCTATTCTTACCCGACTTATCTCCTGCCGGCGGATAGTGTCAGACATATCTTGCCGTGACTGCACTTCCTGGAGTAGAACCAGCATCTGTGTTTTGACTGCTGCACTGGCCACACCCACAGCTCGAGCAACTCCCTCCCATGCATCGGCAGCTTCCCTAACAGGTTGTGTTGTCATCCCTGGGACTGAGTAAGGATCAACAAAACCTGCCTCCGTGCACACTTGCGCCAAGCACTGGGATAGGCGGCAGGCTGTGCCACAAACAGTGTTTAGTGACTGAAATTAAAAAATATATATATATTTAATAATGTTATCTTTTCTTCTTCCCTTTCTTTTTGTATTAGCTAAATATTTACCAATTCACTAATACTTAAATCATATATATAGAAAATATATAACATCTCAATTCTTTTGGAAGACAAAAAAAAATTTCATATCTGTGAAATTCCCCACAAAGACTAATTACCTAAAGAGTCAAAAACTAAAATACCTGTATGTAGGCAGAGAGACACATAGAGCAGTCATGTAGATCCTGTGATGCAGGGTTTGGTGACTTCTCTCTGCTGCTTGGGTGTGAGGGCGAGAGAGGGAGGCTGCTCACTAAGCTTGGAGATCTTTCACGTGGAGATCTGGTGAATAAGCTCCTTTATATATTTTTTTATCTTATCATTTATTTTTCGAAGGGTGGGCAATAGGAGGATAGTAAAGCTAGAAGCTATTAGCTTTCTATATAAAAATCAAATATCATATACGCACAACAATACATGATCAGTAAGTAATATCTGCATTACAAAATTAACTACAGAGACTATGAATGTTACACACCCAAATCGATCCTTCACATGAGTTCCATTGACCTCAGGAGTGTGGAGCCGCACCCGACCGCTACCACCATGCGTGAGGGGTGCTGGAGGGGGCTTGCTGAAACCCCCTCCTCCCCCTCCCCCACCAGGCCCACTGCGTCGCATCATCAACTAATACATCACTAGTCCTCTGTAATATATGAAAACACCTTATGTATTTTCCACAAAATATCTTGTAGCTTATGTAACCCATTTATCTCCTACCTTATAAACCATATATGTTATACTATAAGATGCAAAAATCATGAACAGGAGGTTAACTGCTGCAGCTGATAGGTGTTGTGAATTATAGTGAGCTGCAGTCCAGAGTGCAGAAATATTCTGCTTTTGTAACTGATAATAGTACTAACACAATAACAGTAAAACCATAAAATTCCTATAACATACAATAGTTAAAACTTATAGAACAGTGGTTCTTAACCTGGGGGTATGCCCAACTAAGAAGTCTTCAGTAGTTTTCAAGGGGGGGTGCGAGGCCTTGGCAAAAAGCAGAAATTTCTCTACTTATATTAACAAGAGCATGGTCAAATAATAACAAGTACAATAATTACATGAATAATAAAGAATATGATCATATCTAATTAACAATTTCCTTTAAATAATCGAAAGATGTTTTAATAAGGGATCTTAATCATAAACATAAATTTATAAATTATATTATATTATATATATATATATATAATATATATATATATATATACTATACATATACATATACATATACATATAACAGTATTAAAAGGAAGATATTTTTTAAATAAGGGATCATTAGATCATAAACATATATACTCTATATTAAATTATATAAGAGTAGGTTAATCTATAGTTCAATATACTATACTATTATGGATATTATTCATACGAGAAACAAAAAAAAAAAGGAAAATATAATTTACAATATACATATACTCATATACATTATCATATAAATATATGCAATATACCATATTAATATATATAATATATATAGTTATAGTAGTGTAACTATATACCCTATATACTCATAACATTCACTTATAAAATTATTATATTTATTAGATCATAGATTACAATAGTACATATCATATACTATATACATTATTACCCATATACATGTAACTTTAATGTGTCGTGTATATAATAGATACTACATATATAAATATGTAAATATATATAGTACATATATAATATAGATATCAGTATATATATATCTATATATATAATTATACAGTATATATAATCATATAACATATATTATAGTATCATATATATATACATATGCATTAAATACTACATATACATTTACATATTTTGATATCTGTCTATATTTTTATACATATACATGATCACATAACATATACGGATAATATCAAATAGCAATGTACATTTAAATGTGTGTGTGGTGGTGTATATTTATATTACGGGTATATAGTACTTAATATATGTCTAGTATGTATGCATATAAATATAGTAATATATAATAACATATACATATATAACAATACCAGTATACTATATATACTACACTATATATTCACAATGGCATATAAATTTACATATTTTTTACACATATATATAAATATTAGGTATATGATATGACGTAAATATTAGGTATGTATACATATATACTATATATAGGTATACCACTACTACTCACTAAATAATAGAGACATAGTAGTATGAGTCATAGCATATATAAGTAAGTATGATCACTATATTAATATTATATCATTACTATATAGTAGACATATCTATATCACTAAGTGTACTCTCTCAAATACGAACCCTGACTTCATATATACCTAATAAGCCTCCTCCCTATCTATAATGTACCCTTACTATATCCATATATATATAATAATAGTATTATGTACTTTGATTAGTATATACATATATCTATATACATAAGTAATATATATCGGTATACTATACTATTTATATATACTATATAATATATATATACTCACTGTATATAATGGCTATCCACTATAGTAGTATGCAGTATAATAGCGTATACATATGTATATAGATAATACGCATAATATTATACATCATATAATATATATATCATATAGTCTATACGCACATGTAATATATTACTACATTTATCTAATACATAGTATATTAGCTGCATATATTTTATACGACATATGTTATATACTATAGCAGTATGACTTAATATATCTATGTATTTAATATACATATATAGTTAACTATCCTCGGTAAGTATATTGTAGATATGTATGTATATATGCCTTCATATATAATAACATCACATCTAGTATAACAATACAGTATATAAATAGCATACATATTATGATTTACATACCTCATATATATGATACCATATATAGGATATAGTATATACATATATTATATTGAATACGATAGACATCACACACACGAGCACACAACACCACACCACACACAAGCCACACACACACACAATTGCAGCACATATAAAAGATAATGATAACCGAGGTAGTATATATATAGTAGTACATGGACAGTACGATATACATACATGTGTGTGTATATCAATGTATACCTATATATACCATATATTATGTAACTCATCATATTATATACCATACGCCTCGAGTATAATTATATACTATTGTGGTAGTATACTTCTATGATGTATATATATGTATATATATATGTATACCCTAATATATGTATGTATAATATTCTCATAAAGATAATATACGGTAGTATCACTATAATTTCTATATTCTTATAATTATATTAGCTCAATATTATATATTTAACATCATAGTATACCTCACACATGCTTTATATATATATCAATATAAGTAATATACATATATATATATTAGTATATTATATATAGTATAGTATAATAGTATACAGATGTATATATACTGAGTACATTAAATATACTGATATAATAACTCTATATATCACTAGGATATATATATATTACTATATATATACTTATACGCATAATATAATATATAGAATGGTTATATATAATATACGTAGTGATATATATATTATGGTGTATATATGTTATAGTATAGTGATACTCGTATACTCATTGGTATATATATATTGCTAACTATATATCGTATACTATATGGTATACATCGAATTATTAATATATACATATATATTGTCCAATATTATATATCATGCATATATATAGACATACTAATTATAAGGTACATACTAATATACGATATATATATACTATATATACATATAGTAATCATACGATCGATACTCAATATACATATATACACATAATCAGTACTAATACATATAGTAGCATATATGCACTAATATAAATTATATTTACATATAGTGTGATATAGACCACACACTAGAATACATATAGCTCAATGGAATACATATGCGATATATATAGACAATATTATGTTCATATAATAATACATTACCATATATAGTACTACCAACATATATATTATATTATACAATAATAACATATATTCCGATATGCGCCATATTAGGCTATCATTACATTTAATATATAATTTTATACAGTGATATATATATATAATAATTCATCTATATATAATAGGTATATATAGTACTATATCTCACTAGTAATATATAGCACACACAACACTCACATAATATATATATATAATAGTATAATATAAACTTATATACTAAGTATATAACTATATTATATATATATATATATATATACACACAAATACAGGTCATACCTGTATTTCTCTAAGTTGAGCTGCTTCAGATTTGCCATCCACCATGGCCTTCTACAGCAGACACCACTGAACACAAATTTGTATAAGCTTCCATCAGATGCAACCACCAATGCCATGCCCTTGTCCTGCTAGCTTGTCAGTTTGCTGCAGGCAGTCACCATAGTTGAACACTTTGGGTATTTATATCATTTGCATGTCAAGAAAAAGGAATGTGTTTTTGAGATGAATGCAAGATCTGTTGTAAGAACTTTCAGCACATTCAATTATAATTTTTTTTAAATATGAATTTTAATTACATAACCAAAATGAACCATTATCCAAATGGAAAGGTCACAAATAACCGAGATACACTACAGTTTTATCAGCAAAACTTTCTGCTACTTCCTTTGGTAAATGATCATAAAAAAGATAGCTAATGAGTACATTCAAGCCATGGTTTGTATTGTCCTGGGTACCATGGCCTACAGAATTCTACAGAAACTTAAACATTATATCATAATGAAAAGGGCACAGATAAACAGCATTTCAACATAGCAGGCACATATGATTGATGCCACATCAAAAGCAAGCCAGGTAAATGTTTACAACAGGATCGCATCCATTAGAGACAAAGTCCCCAACTCCTGTCAATAGTGTTGGGGGATCCCATGGGGAATTGGGGGGTTGGAGATCTTTAATACCATGCATTTTAAAAAGTAAATTAATTTAGAAATTTGAAAACCCAAGCCAAGAATAGTATAAAATATGATAAAGAAGGTGGAAAATGTAATAAACCAAGACAAGAGTCAACCACTGATGATTTAACATGTGCAAACAAACGAGTCAGTGATCCGCATCTTAAACACACAAACAACCAAAAGGATTGCCATATGAACCAAAAGTCTTCTTAACCCGGGGGCTATGCCCCTGAATCCCCTCCCAATTGCCATATTTCTCTACCGAAGGCTCTGCCCTCCAAACAACCTCCAAAATCCCATATAAGGACCCTTCCTAATTGTCTAATTTCCTTACCGGGGCCTCTAGATCGCTACCGACTACATTTAGAGATACAAACTAAGTTTACCTTAACATTGAGGGGATGGTGGTTGGTAAGTGAAGAACCACTGATGAAATTCTACAACTGGAACATGGTTATTATATTTTCCCGATTTTAGTGTTATCCCCGATATTATGACGATTTCGGTGAGAGATCAATTTCATCGCACAGTTGGAAAAAAAAATTGGAAACACTTGTAACACTGTAAACAAACTTTACCTTTGGAATAAACGAGAACTTTGACAACAGAACTGTCAAATTTGCCCGGAGAGTGCAGCGATGCACAAGTATGGATGTACCATGTATTTCTAATGAAACTATGGTATGTATACGACAATATCGATCCTAGTGTGTATTTAAGGAATGAACATTTAATAAATGCATATCCTGTTAAAATTTCATATAAATTAGAATACAGAAATAGATTATACTACAGTGCACTTCTCAGAAATTTGCCATGACATCACAAGCTACATGAGCCAAGACAGTTTATGTTGAGTTCCCACACAGTTTAAGTTGTTTGCTGTGATGTGAGGAGGGCTGGACTTTGTCGATGGAGGCACATGGGGACTTAGTATCCGCAAGACATTCTGCACACCACATTTTCAATGTTTAACTCAAAAAGGTTCACTTCTACAAATCATTTTTGATAGCAATAAAAACAGTTTTTCATTCAAAGAACCCCATGATCTTCAATTTCCTCCTAGTCGGTGCAGTCTTTTTGTATACCTTAACCTCAAACTATTCTGCTGTCCATGGGACACAGCATAAAGTCGTTATGTATGAAATAGGCCATTCTCAAAAGTATGCATTTCAATTAATTGACTGTTTGCAATATAATTAAAATCAACAATAAATACTTGTCAGTGAAATTCCAAAGGAGTAAATAGGAAATGACAAATGAAAAATAAAAAGAAATTGGAAGGTTATAGACCTTTACAGAAGTGACAGTGAAGGCAGAGAGATGTGAAAGCCATAAAAAATTAGAGGAAACCTAAAGAAGGAAACACAAGAAAGGCCCAGACGAATGAGCCAGAAAAAGAACCAAATCAGTATTACATGAAAGTGGCAGGGTAGAGGGCCAGAAAGGAAAGCCTGCAGGGGGCAGAGGGCTTTGTAAAAGAAAGTCAGATCACAAAGCCATATGAAAGAGCTAGAAGAAAGAGCCCCGTTCAAGGGCCACTTAACTCTCACTGTTGACATTCACAGCACAACAAAACAGTACAAATTCCACACACTCTCTCCCTCTCCCTCAGCCTCCCTCGCCCCGTTTCCCCTTCTCTCGCACCCTATAAGCTCCAGAGTCTTACCTAGCCAATCCTGAAGGTGTAAATACTTCGAAAAGACGGCGCTGGAGAGGTAAAAAGGGCTAAAATCCCATCATTTTGGGTCTCCCTCGGCCTCTCGTCGCCTTCCTTCTTCCTCGA